ATGTTGCAAGTGCGGAAAGTAGGGGCACTATGCGCGGGATTGTCGGCAAGAAGCCCCGGGTCAGCATTTGAGGATCTTTTATCATTGTCATCAGGTTGGGCACTTGAGGGTCAACTATCCACAGCTTGCTGCAGGACCGGTGCAGGCTCTAGCATCGGCCACTTTGAGGATCACGGGTGGAGGTCAGAGTGGAGCGGAGCCCCCAAGGGCTCAGGGTCGTGCTTTTCAGCTTTCAGCAGAGGAGGTCAGAGCAGTGCCGGATGCAGCTGCGGGTATGTTCCTTTCTTGATATCTTTTTATCTTGTGATTATTGTGGGGTATTATTATCTGCTAGTCTCGTTGTGTGGTTTTCGTTTTGGTATCCGTTGTTCCTTGAGGGTTTGGTATGGTTATGGGTTAGTGTTTGGGTTTGGGTTTTCGTTGGTTATCATTCATGAGGGTTATTAGTGGAAATCTAGCGTCTGGTTTGAATATTGGGTAGCATGTGCATTCTGAGGAGTGGTTAGCTGCAGATTGAGTTTCTTTCGAGCGGGATGATCAATGTGGAAATGTGATTTTCGTGGAGGTTGCTCGTGCTAGTAGGAATCAGTCTGCATGTAAGTGTTGGGTTTTGTGCAAGGTTGTTTAAGGAGGTCGGTGATAGCGACCGGTGGTTGATATTCAGTGCTCTAAGTGGGGGGGAATTGGAGAATTCTCCTGGAGATCGACGAGTTCGGGAGGTCGTTTAGCTGCATGGGATTCAGCAGTGTCTCTGTCAGCCGAGAGCGGGCTGGTATGAGTAAGTGGCAGGCGTGCAGGGCGAGATACAGACCTATTGCATTGATTGTGGAGGGCCTGGGATCAGGCCTGGATCGAATATGTATGATGGAGATAGAGTTCGGAACCCCTAGAGGGCTAGAACAGTATGCATCGGAGGATTTCCTGGAGTGATAACTCGGAGTGATGAATGCTAGTTGAACGATCCGGATAGACTGAAGGCCGGTAGGCGTACCAGTCAGGCCGAAGGCTCGGAGGACGATCCAGCCAGACTGAAGGCCCTGGAGAGCGGTCCAGATTGGCTGAAGGTTTTGAGAGTGGTCCAGAGTGGCTGAAGGCCTGGTAAGGCGGACCAGTCATGCTGAAGACTCTGCAGGTTTTGTTAGACCGGTTCGAGGAAAGGGGTTGAGTATGTCATAATGTGTTAGCATTAGAAGGTCTGGCCCCGGGTATTGATCTTGGTTTGGTGGAGATGGTGCATGGACTCGAGAGTCCTTGCGAGCAGATTCAGAACATGTGTGTTGCGTGGATGGTGGTTATACTATAAGGGAGTGTAAATTCACGGAAGTGAAAGTAGCAGCGCAGGGTTATGATTGGAGTGGTCCAATTATGGTAATTGAGCAGCGTGATTGCAGTAGTTGTACAGAGTCACATCGGGGTTGGATGGTTGCTGACGCTCGGTACGAATGCATGGATGGAATCTCGGATTCCAGTTAGACCTTGTTTTATGTTGTGGAAATTCATCCTGAAGGATGTTTGGAAGTGTCATCAGTGTATCGGGTTTTTCCTAACCCGAGGACATCAGGGCCAGTTCAGTGTGGTTATGAGATTGCGGTGGAGAACATGTGAGAGTTGCTCTGAGGCTGAAGCATGTGACATCCTGTCAGCAAGAAAAGTAAAGTTGGACTTTGGATTTCGATGGTCGAGTCTTGAGGAACCTGGTCCGGTGAACGCCAGGTGGTGCGTTGCGGGGGTAGTTCTGAAGTAGAGTTGTCGCAGGCTTCGAGGACGAAGCCTAATTTAAGTGGAGGAGAACTGTAACACCCCGTTCTTAAAGTATTTAGTTATGAGTCCCTGAGATTTAAGAGGAAGGGTAATTCTGGTCCTTTTGCGGGAAATGGGTTTTATCCGAGAAGGTTTCGGGCTGGTGTGTGTTGTTAGAAGCATAGGGCTTCTCGCCACCCTCGTGTGAATGTCAAGTCTATTGGGAGCGGGTTTAGAGTAGAGGGGTTGCGGCATTTTGAAGATGATAATTGATTATAGCTCTTAATGGAAAAGTGGAAAAAGGGGTTCCATGCAAGCCATGCATGTGTTTTGAAGTTTGGCTGGGTACGCCCAGCGTAAGCTGGACGTACGCCCAGCGTAGTAGAGGAAAAATGCAGGGTGGCTAGGTGAGTACACCCAGCGTACTCTCAGAAACCCCAAACCCTAATTTTAGGGTTAGCAACTATATAAGGAACATGTTGGTTTATACCCTAGCCTCCATAAGCTCACCCTTAACCTCAGGAACCCTAGAAACCCATATTCCCTCCATTGTTGGGTGTGTTTGGCCTTGGAAAGCTCATTTTGGCAAAAGAGAAGCTAGAAGAAGAAAGGAGAAGTTGTCAAAGAAGGAAAGGAACGATTGGAGCTTGTAGATCTAGAGAGATATAATCCTTGGGAGCTTATTTGAGGTATAAAGCTTCTTGCTTGCCAATTATTTTGCATAGATCTAAGTGTTGTGAAGTTGTAGCATCTTTCTTGTCCCAAAAGTCCTCATCTTGATTCATGCTTTGTGTTGGCCGAGATTATCTGTCCTTTCAGACCTTTGGAGAGGTCTTGAGTGAGAAAAATGAGGTCCCAAGGGTTGTGGTTGTTCCATGTGTGAGTTATGTAGGTCTTAATGGGTTAATACCTTGGATTAAGAGCTTTATGGACGTCCCAAGTGATAAAGTTTGAGACTTTATGAATTCTAATCATATTTGGCCTAAGAATCCAAAGTTTGGTCTTAAGAGCTTAAACCATTAAGTCGTTAAGTGATGATTTTGAGCAGTGAGGTTACACCCCGCGTAACCTATGAGTACGCCCCGCGTAGCGGGCTAATGCCCCGATCCTCATCTGTGATTCAACGTGTACGCCCCGCGTACCAAGGAGGGTACGCCCAGCGTACTCCCCCTTATTGGACTTTAATGTTGGGCCTTAAAGTTTGGGCCGGTTGTGGGTTGTTGGTTTATGGGCCATGTCTGGAAATTATGGATAGAGTATTTTGGGCCTAATTATTGTTATGGACCTTGGATCTAGGCCCATTTGGTGAGGTGGGCCCAATTTGGTAAATTGGGCCAATATTGGACTTTGTATAAGATTTGGACTTTGGCCTTGGCCCGATAAGTGGATGTATGCTTGGCCTAATGTGTATTTGTGCTATGTGGGCTAGTTCGGGATTTGCGGTGAGTTGGTGATTCGAGAGTCTGCTTCTTCAGTTCAGAGTATCGGCAATCGCGAGGTGAGTTATCCTCACTATATCAACAGGGTCTAAGGCACCAAGGCCGGCCCTTTATTGGATTGAGATTCGGGTATTTGTTGTTATGCTGTTGTCTTGATATGTTTGCATCCTGGTAGTTAGGATGGTATATGCTAGTGACCGGTTATGTCGGTATCCTGGTTAGGATGATGATATGTTATGTGATTTGTTTGACCGTCTTGTTGATTGTGAACTGTTATATATGATTGTATGTTTGTGTGCACATGGTTGTTTGGACTGGAGTTGGGTTGAGGCGGGTCCTGCTTTGTGTTGTAGGCCAAGATACCCAGGGCGGACCGGTTGTTCCGAAGGCCCAGCAAGCGGTCCGGATAGGTTGTAGGCCCCACGAGGGCGGACCAGACGTGTCGAGGCTCGGAGAGTGGACCAGGCCAACTGAAGGCCCGATGCGGGTGGACCAGTCATACTGTAGACTCAGAGAGTGGACCAGGTGGATTAAAGGCTCGGTGCAGGCGGACCAACCACACTGCAGACTCGAGGGACATGACTAGACTCGGAGGGTGGACCCGTTGGACTGAAGGCCTGATGCGGCGAACCAGTTACACAGTAGACCTGATATGCATGGCTGTTCTGTGATCGGTTATGATATGACATGTTATATGTGTATGTTATCTGTATTTGTTATTTTGGGGGTATCTCACTAAGCTTTCGGGCTTACAGTTGTGGTTTAATGTTTTCAGGTTCTTCAGGAGACCGTGGCAAGGCGAAGGCGTGATCGTACTGCTCCTCGTGTTTATGTTTCATGTTATGTTTCTGGGAATACTCTGATAATAAATGTATTGAAAACCTTTTTGTAATAATGTGATTAAAATGGGTTGTTTTTGAAAAGTTAAATTTTGTTGAAAATTTTGGTCGTTACAAAATGAGGTCCAAACCTACAACCAAAATCCATGCATGACCAAATGAGGTCCAAACCCACAAACAACACCCATACATGACCAAATGACGTCCAAACCCACAACCAACACCCATGCATGACCAAATGAGGTCCAAACCCACAACCAACACCCATACATGACCAAATAAGGTCCAAACCCACAACCAACACCCATACATGACCAAATGAGGTCCAAACCCACAACCAACACCCATGCATGACCAAATGAGGTCCAAACCCACAACCAACACCCATGCATGACCAAATGAGGTCCAAACCCACAACCAACACTATGGACATGACCAAATGAGGTCCAAACCCAAAACCAACACTATGGACATGACCAAATGTGGTCCCAACCCACAACCAACACCCATGCATGACCCAATGAGGTCCAAACCCACAACCAACACCCATACATGACGAAATAAGGTCCAAACCCACAACCAACGCTATGGACATGACCAAACGATGTCCAAACCTAGAACCAACACACATGCATGACCCAATGAGGTCCAAACCCACAACCAACACTATGGACATGACCAAATGAGGTCCAAACCCACAACCAACACTATGGACATGACCAAATGAGGTAAAAAAATTAATTTTACATATTAATTAAAAATTTATATATAAATTTATTATTTTGTTTGATAAAAAAAAACAACGCTAGTTTGGATATTATATTTAATTAATATTGTATATAATTTTTTACATAAATATAATACACATTAATGTAAATACTAGATATATTAATGTGTAATACAAAAATGTGTAATCATTATTGTAGCCGATTAACCGTCATTCTAAATCCACCTTTGTAGACTGCAATTAATTGGAGAAGTGATGGCCTCAGTCGATGTCGCTTCACCTCCGACTAATGATCCTTATAAATCGTTCGCTTATGTCAATTTTGTCGTTCTCACATATTCATTAGGTTACGATAACTTAGATTACTCCTTCTTCCTCTTTGAAAAAAATACGTTGATTTTCATAAAAGAAGATGAATGCTGATCTGTAGGCCCATCCGAACTTCAATCTCTGGAGTGTAAGCACAGAACCACAAAAAAACAAACCAGTGGTTGAATACGGGAAGGCAAACGACAAAAGTTTCACCATTCGCGTTGTCCATGGTGAGTTCTTTACAGACTACCCAGGCAAGGCATATCAACAGACCAAGGTTCACTTCATTTCTCATGTGAACATCGATTTGTTAGACATGGAGTTGCTTGGGTGTTTTTCTAGAAGCCTTGGGTATACCAGTTTGGGGAACTGGTATCATATGCCCATCGGAGAACACACTAGGTTGTCAACGGTTCCAATACTAAATGATGAATGTTTAGAACCATTCAAGACGTTAGTTAGGGCCCACAAATTCAAAGAGAATGAACATCTCTATGTTAAACATAGGCCTGTGTTTGTTCCAAACAATTTCCCACACTTTTTGATGAACTCTCCAGCCAAACGTGTTGAGAAGCTTATTCACATGTTTGTAATAGAACATCCAACGGCTTGGTTTGATGATGGAATAGCATACATCCAACATATGCTAAACATGACAATTCCAAGAGAAAAAATGAAGGATGCTACGGACATGGCTAAAGAAAATGCCACAGCATGCACTACTAGAAAAAAGGCCTTTTACGACGCTCATTGCACGTCGTAAAACGCTCAGACGACGCGCAAATGCGGTCAAGGAAGGCCCTGTCATAAAGAGAGACGACGCGCTTTTGCGCGTCGTCTATAGATGACGCGCATTTACGACGCGCATTTATGACGCGCATTTACGACGCGCGGTTATGACACGCATTGCGTATCAAGGAAGGCCCTGTCATAAAGGTAGACGACACGCATTTGCGTGTCGTAACCTTACGACGCGCGTGTTTATGACACGCAATGCGTATCAAGGAAGCCCCTGTCAAGAAAGGCCATGTCATAAATGAAGATGACACACATTTTTGCGTATCATAATTTTAAATGTTCTAAAAAAAATATTTATATATTTATTAATTTTTAAATTAAATTTGCATTTAATGTCTCATAATAGAAATAAAATATCATATACAAAAAATACAATCCATTGCATAAAATTTAATGTCATACAATTCTATTTTTTACAATATCTAAATTTGCATCTAATCTACTCTCTACATCAAATTCCAACTAAGTAAAGTTGCATCTTGCCTTTCATAATTCTTTAAGACTAATGCTGCAAGATTTGAATCAAGTGGCTTCATATTCCTTTCTTCCACCAACTTTACCTGATGCACAAAATACACATAAACAAAAAAAACATTGTAAAGGAAGGGGTAATTTGGGAAAATGTGAGGGGTATCCTCTGCAAAACAAAACAAAAAATATCCTTTGCAAGATTTGCTCTTTAGTATCCTCTGCAAAACAAAATAAAAAATATATATCAAAAAATTAAATTTTTTATAATTTTATATTATAATTATGCCTAGAGTATTGCATACCTGAAGAACCATTTGTTAGCTCTACAACACTTTTTGAATCTGATGTTGTATCTTGATATAATAAACAAATAACTAAAAGTAGGTTGCTATTTCTTAAAAAGTAATTCAACTTTGGCATATTATAGCTTACCTTCTCTGTTGGTGGCAACTGCAATGAGTTCTTTCACGGCTATATCAGAAACAAGATAAAACTACAGAAAAAAAAATGTAGGTTAACTCAGCAAATGATAAACCAATAGTTGGTAATTTACAATCTTTCTTTCATCATACAATCTTTATTCTTTAGGTATAATGTATTTATTAATCCAACAATATTGACATTATGCATAACTTGAATTCAAATATAAATTGGACAAGATATAATGTCTTTTTTAAGCAAATAGTTCAATATGCTACCCCACTATCGTTGACTATTAAAGAAATTAGGGCCAAATCTAACAGTAGAATGTTTATGACAATTAAGGCCTCATTTGGAAGCCAACAACAGTAATACAAGCTAGAAAACAGGGAACAGGTGGTGTTTTTAAGTTATAATTTTGAATAGAAAAGGCAAAACTTCTATAACAACTACTAAAGCAACTGAAGTTAATATCATGATGCCTTCCTCAGATCCTGATGCTGATCTAGTATGCTTGCTTCCAATTTATTTTTCCCACTGCCACTGCCAAGTGTTAGCAGCTTCTCCACGTGTTCGAATATAACACAAATCCGTTTTACATCTTGGATTATTTCCATATCACCCGGTAGCTTGTTTGTTGCCAATGCAATAAGTCAGATTAAAAAAATGACTACTTTACCCTTGTGTCAAAAAATTGTAAATAAGACATTACACATACCTTGCAAAGGCTTCAATGCAGAAACAACGGTGAAGTATAATTGGTCGATTTTTATTCTCATAAGCTAGTCTGGTTAAGAGTGTCAGCTGCAACTCTGAAAGCAGTACACACCATTTGATCCAGTAATTGATGTGGTCTTACTATTTCCAGATAATGAAGTATATGTATAGATATTGGATGATGTTAGTTTCATTGATCATGGAGGGTAAATGTGGAAAAATAAAAAAAAATGTACCTTTTTTCTTCTCTATTTGGGTCCATAAAATCATCAAACAACAAAAAGTTAGGGGAATCATCAGAGATAAAAACACCATTTTATGTAGTACCTAAAGATAAGATGTCCTTCTCCAACTGCCCAAAGAAGCTCTAACAAAAATTATACACAATTTTCAGCAAAGAAATTCATTTTATAAAGCCTAACGCAGGGTAACACAGCAGCAAAAAAGAAAGAAAACCCAATACTCAAAGATGATAATTGGATGTTAAAAGACTGAATATGACAGGAATATAAAGTGGTAAAAGACTGAAACAAATAGAAGAGATGACATGATATGAAGAAAAGAAACTTGAAAAAAAGTAGTAAAGCAATTTAGACATGTTTTCCATATTTTGAATCACTGAATGACTTACTTCCTCAATCTACAATAGTAATAGGTCAGTTAAAGGGCACACTAAATAGCAATACTTCTTTTTAAATCTAGAGAATTTATTAAACTTGTGAACATAAATTGAAACCAAATAAATGGGGAAAAGAAGAACCAAACCCCATATCCTTTTGCTGCTGACCTGGCATGTTTTCATCAGCACTAACAGAAGAATCCTTGACATTTTTATCACTAAGAGAGGGTTTTTATTTGTCCTTTTGAGCTAAAGTTCTGACAATCGTTGGAATTGGTGGTTTTCTAGTAGATTGGAGAGGATTGGATTTAGCCTTTAGGAATATATATACATATTTTATATAAAAAAATTAAGAAACCAAATTAATGGGGAAAAGAGATAGTAGCTAACCTCAGAAGAATGGAGTCCTTTCAAACTAGACCACTCAATCTACTTGTCATCCTTCCAGACAAGAGTTGGCCTCACATGCCATGACCTAACAATTGATGCCTTTGATTGAGCTGGAAAGGGAAAAAAGGTAAAAACTCAACACAATTTATAAATTTTGAAGGAAAAGTCAGATAACAATACCTACCAGGAAACTGGACAGTTAAAGAAGTCAAATCAATCTTATTTGTGTCCATAACAATTGCTTCATGCCAGCTACAAAAAACAGTAAAAAAATAGAGTTTGTGATGATTAATAAGTATTAACGATTGAAAATGTAATGAGTTGAGTTAAATGGTTACCTATCTTGTACCCAAACATCAACTTGATCTCCACTACTCCAAGCATAATCTGAAAAGACTGTTATGCCCCTCTTTCTACTCCTTTCAAACTGCATGGTGGTCACATCAATATTCAATGCTCTTGTGCTCCAAGCTAATACACAGTTACCATCATTTGATAGAGAGATACAGTTCCATCATTCCGGATGTCAAATGTCCGTACAGTTCCGTCAACACTTCCAGCAATAATCTCAGTTTTTGTTAAATAGATAGACATAACGCTGTCTAGAAAGGTGTCAATGATCTGTGAATCAATTAAAACTATCATCAGCTTTTGATAATATAAATATATATAAAAAAACTTAGTACAAACGTAGATGTAGAAAAGGGAAAGGGAAAGGGAAAGAAAGCTAAACCCGAATTGGCTCAGTGCTGTGAGATCTACAGTCCCAGGCACGTAAGGAACGATCATACCCTGCTGATACAACAACAGATGAATATTCATTGAACTTTACTGCATTCACCTGCACAAAAATGGTGTTATGATTGTGAAATTATAAATATGTGTTATGTGATTGATAAATTGGTTTGTTAGGGAAATTACACACCTCACTGTCGTGACCTCGAAACTTTTTGATCACACGCCCAGTCGATTGGAAGAAGGAGGTTCAATTCAAATCATACTAACTACTCATTAGAACCAGCATACACGAGTGGTAAAAGTGTAGAAGAAGGGGAGCCTTTTGGCTGAAATAAAGATTCACCATCAAATTCCTTATTATTTCCTAGTTTTTTTGTGGCTTTGATTTTTCTGTCAGTTGTGCTAGCACCAATTGTTAGAACCCATGGAGCTATATTTGTTGCAGTGCCATTGAACGGACCTGAGTTCCCTGTTGCACAACTCACAAATATTCCTTTTTGGATAGCTGCAAATGAGGCTATTGCAATGTTGTCTTGAAAAAAAGGCATGTTTTCTTCTCCAATAGAAATTGATATCACATCAGCTCCATCAGCTACTGCAACATCAAGCCCGGTTAAGATGTCACTCTCTGGCCAATCTAGACCAAAACATACTTTATAAACCGCCAGATGAGCATAAGGTGCCATCCCGACGGCTAATATTTCACTCTCTGGGCAATCTGGACAAAAAAGTAGACCATCGGTTCATTTTTTGTGATGGAAGTTTCGTTTGAGCAATTCAACGAACAGTTGGCATGCATTGTTCGAACAAAAAAATTCAAAAAAATATAACAGGTGATAGTTACACCAAATCATCCACCATGGTTGATTAATCGATAGACCGACTCTCTATCTCAATTTAGTGGTAATTACAAGGAGAGTGAAATAAAAAGGAAAGGGGGGAAGTGGTAGCATAGGAAAGAAAAAAGTTCAGAACTTTAAAATCATGTCTACGTACCTTCAAAATTGAAGCCAAAAAACTCAAAACTGTTGATTCGTGGCTGGAATCGTTGTTGTGGTGCGATGTTGGAATGGTGGAGTCCGAGAGAAAACACAAATTATGATGGGTAGCTATCGTTGTTGGTAATGCATGATTCATCAAAAGCCCTAGTTCTTCGGTCAATCGTCTATTTTGTGAAAGAAGATATTACCATTGCAAATGCGTTATGTCTGATTAGGGTTTGCATAGAGAAGGAGTGAAAGTCGATCGTAGAGGAAGGGGTTTGTAGAGAGAAGGAAGGGAGAGAATGAAATCGATATGGCGGGTGTAGAGAGTACAGAGGAAGAGGAAGGCGGATGTTCAAAATTTTGGGGGAAGGAGAGACGAGAAGGTTGAGGTTTTGATTAGGGGTTGTTCAACAGGTAGCTTCGATTGACGGTTGATGAGTCGTAGTTGTCGATCAGCGCTACAATCGAAAGGAGTTGCAGTCACTGAACCATTTAACGCGAGGATCGGGTTTGAGACTAGAAGAGGCAACGAGGATTGGAGGCAATGGATGTGGGTGAGGGTGGAGACGAGGGAGAAGAAGGCGGGGGTTTAAAAAATTTGGGGATTTCATTTTCCCTCTAAGG